ATCCGGTCACAGCAATGTCAGTGCGGATCATTCAAATTATCATAAAATCTCGTCATATTAAGTCTTGAAGATTAGGAATATCACTCGGGCTTATTATACATATACACTTTTCTTTTTTTTTTTTTTTTTTTTTTTTTTTTTTTTTTTTTTTTTTTTTCAATTATCACATTCCAGATTTTCTTACCATCTATCCAACGATGTCGCCATGTCCAACCTATCGCGCGAAACCTTTACCTTAATCCTCCCTGGGTTCGTCACACAATTGGCCATCGTCCAGATTTAAAGATTTAACAGTCACAGATTCTTGCAAGACGAAAAAAAAAGATTCTGATAACGTCATCAGCGATTATCCGTCTTCTGTAGATGGATTAACTTGAGCACCCAGGTGTGGTGGAAAGCGATAGGATAATATTCTGCAGAGTAGGAAAAAAGGAAAAATAAAATAAAATAATGGTAACTTTTGTAGTATATATTAATTATAATGACTTTAGGTTATAACAAATAATAGGCGGTTGTCGTATAGAGGCAGTACATCGCGTTGTGGCCGCGCTAACCCTGGTTCGATTCCAGGCAACCGCACAATTTTTTTTTTTTTCCCTCCACAAATTATTTATATCGCACTTGTTTAACAATATTTCCTTAATGGGAAAACGAATTTATTATGTTCCTACCTGACGTTTGCGCATCGCTAATTTTACAAGCTCTGTTTCTGCCAATATGTACCTCTTTTATTCATGGTTAAATGTTTATGTGTAAGAGGATTGACAATTACTCTGAATTCTCTCCTCTGCAGCCTCGGAATTTTCCAAACCTAATCCAATCCTTGTATATTGAAACGAAAAATCACAACTAAATACTATAACTAAAAAAGAGAGTTCGCGTAACATACACACGGACCAAATGCTATATTGAGTTCGAAAAGGAAGAGAGGGTGGAAGGCGCGCACGAAACGCAAAGAAAAAGGTAAAACCAACCAAGTCAAACAAGAAAACGTGGTGTCCAAACGCTCGCTTCAGGTATTCCGCCTACCGTGCATGCATGCATGTATGTACTGTCTATGAAATGTCGAAGAATGTGAACGAGGGGAAAAAAAGGAATTGAAGTAATATATATGTATATATTTTTTGTAATAGATTTCCTCCGCTCGGTCCATTTGCGCCAGATATGTCATACAAGGTTGCTTGTAGAGGTCGTCGGACGGATGAATGAAAATGCACGATTGATTAGACTACCCAAAAGAAGCCACTTCTATAAAAGAAACAAATGGAGGGAAAAGAATGGTTTCAGTATATTTACAACCAAATATTATCAATTACTGTGTCTTTCACCAAATTATACTTGGGACACTCTCGCCTCGTACATCATTTCCACTGCCTCGTCCTAAAGAATAAGGTCTCCCTCCAAAGAGAGAGGGGGGGAAGGGGGAAATCGTACTTACTTCTGTCCCCCGCCTTCAACGCTAGCCCCACTTCCATTGCCCCCTGCAGTCCCGTTCCCGCTCGCCGACGAATTTCCGATCCCACCTGCCGCGCCATGCTCCCTGAGCCTTTGCTCCATCTCCTCCCTCTGCCCATCCTGCCACCGGTGCTGCCTCGCGATCTCGTGAATCTTGAACCCAAAAATACGCGGAGTGTAACGTTCGCCTGTTTTCTGCGGCAGGAGGGTAGGGTGGACTTGGAAAAGCATATGGGGAAAGGAGGTCCCATAGTAGGCGCCATCAATGGCCGCGTGACGCGAGGACTTGGGATTGTAAATGTCCTCGCAACGCGGGCAGTAGAGCTTCACGGTCTTGGTGTAGGGAATGTCGCTCAAACCCACAGGGAGGAGGGGTTGGTTGTGGCAGAGGACACGGGGACAGCGGCCAAAGTCGGCTTTCTTGTATTTCTCAAGCTGTGGGTATCGTCGTGGCAAGATGGAAATCGTCAAATGCATGTTCATAATTTGACTACATACGTAGTTGGCGCGTAATACCGCCATATCCTATAATGTCCCAGTCACACTAGCAGATTATCATGCATATTCTAAAATCTCTACAATAAACACGCACCATCTTTGCTAAACCTCGGCTGGTGATCACGAACCGCGCGTGGATCAGGCCGTATAAATGCCGTGCCGACTTCTCCACCTGCTCCCGCATGTCGTCATCGAGCTCTTCCTCTACATTATATCGCCCAGGAGAAACAGGTGGATAAAATATATGGTCAGCGTATGAATAATACGAGAATATCAGGATATGTACTAGATTTAATATTTCTCTTATTCCAGAGATTTCACTCTTTCCTCTATTTCTCCAATTTTCTGCTTTTTGAAATTGTATAACCTATTCGCCTGTAATTTTCATTTCTTTAAACCTACATCTCGCTACACCAACCGATCACCTACCATAATATTCCACTGACAGCCAAAACGACAGCTCCTTTTTCCCTCCTCTCCGTCCCAAAAAAA